CAGTTTTTGTAGATTAAGAAGCCTCAGCTGTGACTTTTGCTAGTAAAAATTGTTATTTTTGAAAAACTTTCCACCGTTTATCGCTTTTATGAAAATTCCACATTTCTTCAGATAAATAACAAAATCTTGCAATTTTCTGATTCTGCAAAAGTCTTTCAAAGAAAACCTACCTAAGGCTACGCAAACAGGTATACTAAGTGACATATAAATCCGAACACCCAGTTTAAATGGTTTTATTTTAATAAAAGTTGGTGAATGTATTTATCTTACTGTAAATAACAAGTGAAAAAATTTTCAGCCTTATCAGTTGGACATTCCGGTTTTTATACTGCTTTTTTTTAATTTACTAACGCTCTAAAAATGAATATTTCAGCCGCAGTAAACAATCAACGTTGGCGGATTTTGGTTCTTGACATCCTTTACGATCGGTTACGATGCCTAGAGTACGGAGACCTGTACGATTTCGTCAACTTAGTGAGTTTGATAGGGGCCGTATAGTGGGACTTCGGAAAGCTGGACTTTCTTTTCGGGAAATTGCAGTTAGAGTACAAAGAAGTGTAGACACTATGGTTAGGTATTGTCAGGCATGGCTTCGAGAAGGCCGTACGCAAAGAGCAAGGGGCACTGGATGCCGTCCTAGAACAACATACCGTGAAGATCGCCGCCTAAGATTATTGGCCTTAAGGGACCGTTTCTCCACTACCAGGTCCATTGCAAATGAATGGTTTGCAGAACACGGAAGGCCAATTGGCATGCGAAGTGTTTACCGACGAATGAGAAGTTTTGGCTTGTTTTCATACCGGCCACACTGAGTCCTCCCTTTAACTCGAGAACTCCGACGTAATCGCCTTGAGTGGTGCAGAATACGGTCACTCTGGGATCAGGAAAGGAACAGTATTGTCTTTAGTCTCGATTTTGTTTAGGCTTGCACGATGGTCGTGCCAGGGTTAGAAGGCGACGTGGTGAAAGGAGGAATCCACAGTTTTTTGTTGAAAGACATGTTCATCACACTGTTGGAGTTATGGTTTGGGGTGCTATAGCTTATGGTTCCAGGTCACCTTTAATCTTCATCAGAGGTAACATGAACGCACAGCGTTATATCCACGAAGTTCTAGAACCCCATCTTTTACCCTATCTTGACACCCTGGCAGATCCAACTTTCCAACAAGATAATGTCCGACCACATGTTGCAAGAGTCACAATAGACTTCTTTCAACATAATGATGTCACATTGTTACCATGGCCACCAAGATCTCCCGACTTATCCCCAATTGAGCACGTGTGGCATATGATGGGTAGGAGATTGCTCAATTTGCAACGTCCTCCTCAGACTCTAGAAGCACTTCGAGAGGAGTTGGTGGTTGCCTGGAATGAGATACCACAGGAGGACATGGACCACCTGATCAGAAGCATGCCTAGGCGCGTTGGAGAATGCGTAGCACATCAGGGTGCATCCACACATTATTAAAGGTCAAAGGGCTTTAAAGCAGAGTAATCATTTTGAAATTTTTATCATTTACTTATTATGCTTCATTAAGTACTTATACAAAATTTTATTAAAATAAAACCATTTAAACTGGGTGTTCGGATTTATATGTCACTTAGTATATTTACTAAATTTTAAGTTGCGTAAAAAAGTACGTAAAGCAGTGGTCATATCAAAACTAAATTATTGTAATATTGTATGCTATACATGCGTAGACAATGTCACCAAAAACGTTATTCAAGTTATTCAAAACAATTGTATACGTTTCATCTTTGACTTACGCAAATTTGATCACGTATCAGCGAAATATTCCGTTCTAAACTGGATAAAAATTAATGATTTGGTCAAGTATCACTATTCAGTTTTTGTGCAAAAATTACTACTCACGTCTAAACCCTCTTACTTGACGGAAAACATTTCATTTAATAATGATGTTTTTTAAACGCAATTTTTCCTACAATGCTGCTATTATTTATAATGACTTTCCTAAGGTTTCTACAGAATTTTCGTTACTTGTCTTTCGACAAAAGTTAAACAAATATAACTCAACCCTCCAAACATATAATTTACGTAATCAAGCATTTCTTTTTTCATCGCTTGTTTTTGTCAGGTTAATAATTTTTGGTGTACTTGGGTATGAAAAGTAACATATGTTCTTTCTTTTTATTTTTTACTTTCGATGTAACTAATTAAAACAGCATTTAATGTAACGGTAGATAAATAATTACGTTAATTATTATAAATCTTACGCATTTTGATCGTGATGTTTGTAGATAAAGTCATAACAAGTTAATGTTTGAACCAGCTTGTATTTCTACCTTTAAATATTTGATAATTACCCTCTGTTATTCGAACATAGCGGATTAGCTGACATCAAGTGTGGCGAGAATATATTTGACACTGTTGTATCACAAAAAAAAAGGAAAACATATGCATGTATTCATACAATACATTTGTTGAACTCCCTAGGAATGCTTGATTCTGTACCATCTTGAAGCGCCTTGTGCATTGATTTGTGTGAGATAAGAAGCTTTCAATTGAAAGTAATAATTATACCGTTCTTAACTCACTATTGATTCGTAGATTTGTGATCCATGCCCAAATGGATGATATTTCTTCAATAATAGTTACCATTACTCAGCCTCCAAAAAGAACTTTGAACTCATTTATTTTGGATAAAGTCGAGCAATGTGAAGTATACACCACTGTCCTTAAAAAATTGGAAAACTCCTGGGTTCGATGGTATTAAAAGCGAGCATTTGAAAATTATAGCCGAGGACATAACAGAACCACTCACTCACCTAATCAACAAATGCTTTGAATCTGGCATATATCTCTCAATTTTAAAAAAAAGTAATATAATACCGATACATAAATCAGGAACAAAAACAGATGTTAACAACTATAGACCAATATCAATAATATCCAGTGTAGCAAAGGTTTTTGAAAAAGTTTTATCTACTAGAATGATTCGATACCTCACAAAATTCAAATTTTAAGTGAAAATCAATATGGATTTACAGAAGGGAAGGCTACATCGGACGCAATAACTAAAATTGTAAATCAAATACATCAAAATATTGATAACAGAATCCCTTCAATCTGCATTTGTGTTGATTTAAAGAAAGCTTTCGACACAGTTAATCACAAATTATTATTAGAAGCATTGGAGAGAATTGGTTTCAGAGGAAACGCGTACTTACTGATCGAAAGTTATTTGTCAAATCGCCCACAATCTGTGCAGATTTCAGGATCATTTAGTAAAGAAATGTATATTAAGTGTGGTGTCCCACAAGGAACTGTCTTAGGTCCGCTGTTATTCAATATATATTTAAATGATATTTTCCAAATTAATTGTGTTGGCAAAATAACTAGTTTTGCAGATGATACTGCAATATTATATGAAGGCACTGACTGGTCTGATCTGAAAAATGTAATTGAAAATGATTTTATCAAAATTATTCGGTGGTTTAACAGTAAAAAATTAAGCATTAACTACTCTAAAACACATTTTTTACCATTTGGATCTTATGCTAGACATCTGCCAAATTACACAAATTTCTCCTTCAATATTAATGATCAAAAAATGCAAATTAATAGAGTGCCCAACATAAAATACCTTGGAGTGGTCTTGGATCCTCACTTACGATGAGACATCCATGTCAATTATATTTTAAAGAAAGTTAGATTTGTATCCTACAAAATTAAATACCTAGTATTCTAAAAATGATATTTAAAAAACCGAAACTTTATCCCACTGAAAAATTATACGCAGATGTTCGAATGTATGATATAAGACTTAGCTTTATTTCTTACACAGTATCACTCACTACCATAAATTTGTAAACACCGACCAAAAAATTAAACGTAATCATTATACCAGGTACAAAATTCGTGGCACAGTAGTTCCTCAACCGCATAAATCTATAATGCAGCGATCATATCTCTATTTAGCGCCTAAATTTTATGAAATTATACCTAAAGACTTAAAAGATTTACGTTTCGGAAATTGTTTCAAAAGAAATTTAAAAAAGTGGCTATATTCTATATCTAGGACTGAAATTCATAAACTCATAAATACGAACATCAACTAAATACATAATCTACTATAGCTAATTTTTGTCCTTTTTTGTCATTTGCATTCTACAGTTTCAACTTAAATTATTGGTCCATGTACAGGCGATGCCTTCTATTGGGCCTGTTTTGATTTTATATTTATTTACTCATATTGTTTGTTATCTTTGTACATTGAGTGAATAAATATTATTATTATTATTATTATTATTCAATGCTATTTGTTGTTATAAATTTGTCTTTTTTACCTGCTGCAGAAAACTACATCATAACCACTACCCTAAGCGCACTTGGTAGATGCTGTACACATCATGACGTCATACCTGTCAGCGGACCTAATGGTCAGCTTATTCGAATTTATGGAAGTAGTAACACCAACCTACGTTCCGCTTGAATGTACTTCCTGAAGATGTTTTCTAACTTGCCACACCACGACGCCAATCAATGTTCAATGAACCATCGTTCTGTGGCCGATATACAAAAAGCAGGATTCCCGCCGTTTTTTCCTTCCTACCCATTTATTTGAAGAATGCCACTTTGACCGCCGAATGATGGTATTTTGATTAAGTTCTCACCAAACGCGGAGGGCCATAACCGTTAATTTTTTTTCGTTCGTAAACGTAATTTGTAAATCGGTAGCCCGGTTCGCGGTTCAACGCGATTACACGTAATTAGTCACCATAAAAAAGGGATCGTCGTGAAAATGAGATTGGATATTAGATTAAGATTGTGTGTACGAGGTTGTAAAAAACTCGGTTTACATGACATGATGGTGAATCATAATGGATTAATAGATTACGGAGTCATGTAAGCATACTCAACACCTGATAAAAACAGCGTCGAGTAAATTAACTCGGTATTTCACACGATTCGGATTCAGAACAGGCATGCCGAAAAAACGCACTATTGTAGACATAGCGTACGATGAGCTGGATCTTCACTAAAGGCTTGTTCTGATGAGATCTAGGATGTGGTCATTTTACAATTTGAAGCAAGTATTGGCTCTCACGCACATGTTCTGAATACCATTTAATGTCTGGAAAATCAGGAAGATCTTGTTCACCTGCCCCAACATATTTTGCATTAACATTATAGCCATCAATTTCCATTGAACTCCATACTTCAGCTAATACATTTCCTGCAAATTCGAAATTAGATCTTTCTAAATGTTCATCAGTTGTAACGCCAAATGAGACCCAAAATGGTCATGAGGCAATATTAAACCAGCCAGTTCCCGACTAAGAGGAGCCATTCTGCGCTCTACTCTGTTATACGCACTTCTTCCAGGAGCGTTGGTAGCTAAAAACAATGCATCGAGATCATGTCGCTTAAAGTGTTGTATAGCAAACCCTATGACATTTTGATAACGTGGATTTTCATCTGGCCCTCCATCAACCCTCATAATTACCACTGGTTTTACTAGTCCATGGTCAGTTTTAGCTAATGTTCGATACTTTTCAAGTTCGAGAAGCGTCTCGAAATCCTGAGCATGAGTATTAGCAGTAGATGAACTATGCTTTCCACTTCAAATAGCGATGTATGTTGGTCCAGAATATCCAACGGCTTGCGGTTGTCTTAGCATATTGGAAGTGATTTTGATACGCTGCATAGACAGATGGTATTAATTTATGACGCTCAACGATTACCCAATAGTGATTCTATATTCCACGTGCATTAGAAAAGGTGCTTGCTTTTTTGCCGTAGTTACGCCAATAGCGACTCGAACTTTATCATCTTGAGAAATGAAAAATACTTGATCTGGTCCAAGTATGGATGCTATTGTCTCTAAATAATGGATTGATGTTGCAGCGAACTTGCTATCTAAGTGGCTCTTGTGGTGATCAGTTTGAGCCCGAATGAGCTTAACAGGGACTGTCGATACATGTCTTCGTCCCTCTGCAGAATTAGATTTTCTGGGAATCAAACGAAGACATGTCCCACTGCGACTAATGTCAAATCCTATTTTACGTAATTCTTGCGCGAGTTCATCAAGAGTTTTTACGCTGCGAATTGATTCCGTTCCTCTTCTATCATCTGCTGCACTCCCAAATAAAGCTATATCCGCGATTGTTTTCAATAGTGAATGTTGACTGCTTTCAAGATTAGGACGTCCCACTGAATCCCTCAGAGATAGTCTTTTTTTTATTTCTGGATTTTCATGACAAACATCTTCTGACTTTCTTTTCATACTATCCCTGTGTTTCTTCTGGGCAACTGCGTTTAGAACCTTCATGTTTAAAAGACTGTTTTACTGTTTTTATTTCCTCGCGCAACTTAATGATCTGTTTATCAACTTCAGCACGACTTGGCATAGTATCTCTGGCAGAATACAAAGCATTCAGATTTTGTTCGAGTAGAGCAATCTTATTTTTCATAGCTTCCTGAGAAGGTTTTGCTCCTTGTTGATCTGTATTTTCATTAATTTCGCATTGCTTTGTGATTCATTACCGGGTTTTATTTTATCTTCTTCCTCATTTTTAATATTTGAAGCTGACTGGATAATTTGTGTTTTTTTCTGCAGGCTTACAGGTTGCCTAAAAATAAAAACTTTCTATGGCTTCTGCTAAAGATTCTCTTATTAAGCTACATAAATACAAAGTATGGCAATATATATGGTAAATACAAAACCCTATGGCTTTCAATCTAATATGTTTAAACGAGCAATTCGTTCCGGTCACAAAATACAGGGTTTTAGTTTTCTGTACATATGTATAAAACTAACATCCTGTACTTTGTGACCAATTGACGGACTCAAGCATAAGAAATAAATCTATAATATAATGAATATTACCTCTATACGTTGAGATAGGCCATAATATTTTCTAATCAGTAAAGAGAAACTTTTTGGAGATTTCTAATATTTCTAGTACTCATAGGTACCTAAAATGATTTCGTCACTCACCTTTGAAAAAACTTTAGTAGATTGAATTTATTCTTACTCGCCGCTTGCAATTCTTCTTCGATTCTTTTAGATACAATAATATCTAGTTCCTTGTCGGATTTTGCTTCTAATTTGTAATTTCGCCACACTTCGTTAACTAACTTTTGTAAATTTTTTTTTTACTTTCGTACTTGTATGAGATTTTTTACAACTTTCAAACAATTTTTAGTACAACTTGGATTTGTCTATGTGAAACGACATCTTATTTAAACATTAAACTGTGGCTAATGGATTCAATGGTAACACAAATGTTAACTTGCTTTACTATCCTTACAATACGTCTACTCGCTATAGTATCCAAACGAAACAATACACTGATAGAGGAAATTTAGACAAGTGAACATCGCGCGGTAATTCCCCTACTCGGTTCTGAAGCGAGTAGGGGAATTACCGCGCGGTGTTCACTAAACTTATGCATTATTTGCGGGAATCCCCGAAAATTCGTTTCGTTTTCAAGCAACAACAATGTGAGGGTTGCCATTCGTGTAAAAAAGTAAATAACTACCGATGACGTAATCATCATCTAGACCCCCCTACCACCATATCATCCAAAATAAGCAAAGCAAAGACCCCCCATAGTGCTCACGTAATACTTGAACGGCCCCAAATCTCTTCACTTCATCAGCCTGCCTTGATCACGCTCTGCTGCGAATAAACCAAGATTGACGTAGCTTTCCTACCTGAAAGCCCAGATTGGCAAATCACAGCAAATCACAGCAAATTACCCATTTTGCAATGTTAAGCTTTGCAATTTTATTGATTGTCCGCAATACATAATGTATGCGCACCTATGCTGGTGCATAAAAAATAAATAAAATGCAGCAGTTATAGCTAATAATTTCTTAAATGAAAAACGATATAATAATTCTAACTTAATTGGCCGCATATATAATTACGCACGTAACCCATGTTAGGAATTACAGGTGATTAAATCATGCTTATATGAGCAAGCTTACATGATATTTACGCTTAAACTACGTCACTGACAGCAGTAAATGTAAGCCGAAGAAGAAGTCGTTTTTTCCCCTTTGAGTCGGTAATCTTGAAAATACAACATGATAGGTTTGGTCGACAGCAGTTCTAGTTATAGCTAATTATACATTTTAATAGCATTTTTACGGGTGCTAATGGCTGTCCATTATGCGTACTTAGAACAATTTTAATTAAACCATTTCCTTAATAGAGATATAGGATACAGTAAATGAGTAAGAGTCATCGTTTTCCTTCTACTATATACGCAATTACTTATAAACTTCTATATGATATCACTAACAGTATGCATTATAATTAGGCGAGACTGACTTTAATGTCTGACTAGTGAGCACCTCATAAGATATTTATTGGTATACAAGACATTGATTGGTTTAAAGAAAACAACTAAACGTACAGAAGAGCGCGCAGACAGCGACAGGCGACCGACTTCCGAGACTTAAAGTGATACAGGGTTCGTCCGGAAAGTAATAGGACTTAGTCGATTTAAAAAAATTTATTGAGCCAATCGTTACAATTTCAAAATACGCCCCTTCTGCGTCGATGCAGCGCTGCCAGCGCGATTTCCAAGCATTGAAGGCGTCACGGAAGACAAATTCATGGTGGACTATGCCTTTGTTGTAAAAAAAGATAATGAGCATCGTTTTCACTTTGGATTTGCTCATTCTTCCCTTTTTTGGGCGAGGAGACGCCGTCGTGTGCCACTCGGAAGATCGCCTCTTTGTCTCGGGATCATACTCAAAGATCTACGACTCGTCACCTGTGATTACGTTATTCAAAAATTGGGGGTTACTTTCACACATGTTCAAATTTTCTTGGCACACTTCCACTCGCCGCAATTTCTGGTCGTCGGTGAGCACTATTGGGACAATCTTCGCGCACACCTTGCGCATGTTCAAATGCTGTGTCACAATGTCATGAAACACAGATTTTGGTAAATATAACATCTGGGCAATTAAACGAATACTTAGTCGACGGTCTGAGTTCAAAACTTTGCGCACACGAGTCACATTATCGGTGTTTGTCGAAGTCGAAAGTCTTCCAGCACGGTGTTCATCAGCGACCTCTTCCCGGCCCTCCAAAAAGGCCTGGTGCCACCGAAACACACCACTTCTTGCTAAAGCAACACCTGGGTAAGCCTGCTTGATCATATCAAACGTCTCTGTCGCAGATCTATCGAGTTTCACACAGAATTTAATCGCGTACCTCTGCTCTAACGAACGCTGCATTTCCGGCTTGCACCACTCACAGAAACACGTCGCGCGAACATGCCTGTCCTGACTCTCCAAGTGCTCGGAGACAACTTACCAGCCGCTCATTCGTTAGCTAGGAACGCCCTCTACCGAATCCACTCGGTGCGCGCACTCACCGAAGTACAGTCATGGCGGAAGAAAATAAGTCCTATTACTTGTCGGACAAACCCTGTATACACTAGGTCTCAGAGAGACTTATAATCCGATAGATGGCAGCACAATTATAGAACTTTGTATTGAACCACAGCTCCTCCTGAACTCAACCCACTGTTCTCCAAAACACCGGTATCAGTGACGGACTCATCGAATTAGTGATAAAAAAGCTTGTTGCTTCGGGTTAGTGGATATCTAAAAGTGAAAATGTTCTAAATTCATTGTTTACGAATAAATAGGTCAAAACCATAAAATTTCATATCGCAGAATCAGTTTATCTGTTAGTGCCACTGTGAAATATTCAAATTATCAGCGTTATGCTTTCAACTGCTGAATATATTTGTACTTTTTTCAAGTTTAGATTTGAGTCAGTGATTGTAATAGACGTTGTATGAATGCTGTGCCTCTATGCTTGGGACCCGGGACATCTACGAGTATCTCTGGCTCTTCGCGTTCCGCCTCTAAGAACTATAGAACAGAAGAGGAATTTCAATAATGTATACTAAGTGACATATAAATCCGAACACCCAGTTTAAATGGTTTTATTTTAATAAAATTTTGTACAAGTACTCAATGAAGCATAATAAGTAAATGATAAAAATTTCAAAATGATTGCACTGCTTTAAAGCCCTTTGACCTTTAATAATGTGTGGATGCACCCTGATGTGCTACGCATTCTCCAACGCGCCTAGGCATGCTTCTGATCAGGTGGTCAATGTCCTCCTGTGGTATCTCAGTCCAGGCAACCATCAACTCCTCTCGAAGTGCTTCTAGAGTCTGAGGAGGACGTTGCAAATTGAG